TATTAAATATCGGATCGACGAATAAGATTGCGTCACGTGTCCCTATTTAGTCCTCCGTTAGAGTAAAGGGCATATATGCTCTAATTTTTGAACGACAAGGGCACCAATGTCCCAAAAGTATGACTGAGGGTATCTGTATACTATTTACGATAGTTCAGAGATATATTTGTCCTTTTTCCCATTATCTAATGCACACTGTACAAATTAGGACGACATATCGATCGGTTTTGATTTAATTTAATTTTAAAGTTATGGATTTGATTTATCAATTATTGATTTGTAGACATGCTAAACCGTTATAAAATCATTAAGATATTGACTTATCAGTTATCGATTTATTGATTACTGATCATTATAAGTTCGGTTATTAATTTAACCGTTAAGCTTTGAAACATAAAAACGTCATAAAAAATCACTTATAAAGAAGGTGATAAACCAAATGAACCATATACATGAGTTGACAGATTATATCTTGCTAAAAAACAAACACTAACCCAATGTAGAACTGGGGATAAAGGTCTAAAAAATACCCCAACTTTGGTCAAATTTACTGTTGCGATACTAAACTTTCATGAAGACCTATTACCTCCCTAGACTATTTAATACCGTATTTTTTACCTCTTAAACTATTTAATAGTGTATTTTAAAGGTATATATATGTTCACGTAGACACATTACTATTTATAATTTTGCATTATTTTTTATGTCCACGTGGACAAATATATATGTTTAAAATACGGTATTAAATAGTCTAGGGAGGTAATAGGTCCTCATGAAAGTTTAGTATCGCAACAGCAAATTCGACTAAAGTTGAGTTATTTTTCAGACCCTTATCCCTGTAGAACTGAGACGATGTGAAACTAAAGTCAAGAATTTTTTATATATAGAATGATATAAAATAATTTTTTAATTTACTATCAGATTATTGATTAATCTGTTAAAAATAAATTATTCAATTAAAAAAAACCAAAATTGTTATCAAAATGCTAAATCAATAAATTTATAACATTGTTAATTTCGAGTAAATTCTAAACAATCTTAAGATAAACCAATATTCTAAACTCAAACTCATATACAATAGCTCACGAATCACGTAAAAATAAACCCACTCAAGTAAAATAGCCCCCAAATCACTTAAAATTAGCAAATCACATGGAAGCGCATCGGTGTAGCAAATCACTTGGAACTATGGAAGCGCGTCGAGTAAACCCCTTCTAATTAAGGGTAGACACAAATATCGAAAAATCAAATCGAATTAGTTTGATTCGATATGGGTGTTTTTTTCTTCAAAAGTTCGGTTCGTAGGATTCCAAAATATGAATTTAGGAAAAAAGATTGAAATTGTCAATATGCTTAACATAAATTTTTATTTCAACTCCATAGGTAGAAAAAGTAGTAGTACTATACTACATAGATGAAACTCCACAGAGATATATGACAAAATACACATTCATTCCAAAGGAGCATCAAAAAGCATATGCTTCCAGTTCCGTGGGATTCTGAAATACAAACTAACCCTAATTCCAAAATGAACCATCCATTTTAGCTTAATTTCATCCTAATTTACAGTCAATTTCTGAAAATTTCAGTTAACGATTCAAAACGAAGAGATAAGCTGCTTCAAATCGAACTTACCAGAGCCATTTTCTTCAGAATCCACACAATCAAATCCACATCCACATTGTGGCGATTCATAGAAGTTATCAATTGCAAAATCAGCAGAAGCAATACCGACGGAGAAATCTAGATCGTCGCCGTCACGCGTAACTTCCACAATATTGATCCAAAACAAAAGCAGTTTCACCTGTACGCCTTTCAAATTCGCAAGTCGATCCTTAGAGATTTTACCAGTAATCTTACTCATATACTTGAGATTATAGCCGCTTATGCTGAAACTGCACGATTTATTAAAGTAAACAGCGAAATTGCCCGTCGTTTTGTTGAGTTCGTACTTTGTTACGCCCTTTGGAAGTATCCCTACCGGAAAATCGTATTCCTGTAGAATCAGGTATACCGTCGGGGACTGAGAATCCTCGTCGCCGATGACCGGAGAAGCTGCAGAGAGTAGGAGGAAGAGGAAGATGCATAATGGAAGGGCTACAGAAGGCATATCTTGTTAGTAGTAGCGAAACCAAATTAACTTGAAATTGAGATATTACTCTTATTTAGTGAGGGGCTTGAATTTGAAATTTGTACTATTGAGTAGCTATGGTGTGCTCCTGTGAAAAACGTTGGTTAAATGTGGAAGACGCGGAAATAAGTTATTTTAGAATTAATTATTTCATAATTAAGATAAAAATAATATTGATATATCAAAATAAGTAATTGCCCATAAGTTATTTCATCATCTTATTGCATGATGCAAAGATTCAAGATGTTGAGGTAGATATATGATCATATAAAGAGTGATAAGATAAAAAAGGATGATATATTCGAAATAAAGTGAAAGTGGTTTTTATGACCGATAAAATGAAAAAAGGAGAGGTTGATGTAGATCGAAAAAGTGTTGTAGCGTGATAAGATAAATTTTTAGATTATCAAGGATATGATCTATGTAAATCGAAAAAGTGTTATAGCGTGATAAGACAAACTTTAAATTATCAAGAACATGATTTGAATATGAAAAACACATAGTAAAATAGAAAGTTAATAAATACGTAATAAGGAAAATTTGTGTTTGCTATTATACTAATCTTATTATTATAATTCTTATTTTTGGTATCCGATGATTATTGTTTTCACTACTCTATCTTAGTATGTTGGAGTTGGTCACTTTTGACCTTTTTGGTTACTTTCTACAATCGTTTTCCTTTCTTTTAATTTTAGCTTTAAAATGTGGCTCTTTTAACTCTAGATATCCATCAGAATAATTTAAATAGAATTACCCAGATAATGAACTCCAGAAAAATAGAATAGAAATTAGTATGAAAAAATATATTAAAATAATCAAAATGAATGAATACGTTCAATTCAACGAAAAATCGTGAATAAGAGATCATAAATTTAAATCATTTACTATAAAACTTATTTTTTCTACTTTCACTTTCACTTGGGAGAAGAAGGCAAATGCACAACGTGGCAAACCCACAAACACAAACACACTCAAATGCTGCACGTGTCCTCTTCTTTTAAAATATCATAATATTTTTAATTTCATAGAAAATAATGTTTGAACTCATTCATTGCAAATATAAAAATACATCAATCGTAGTTACCAATAACAAAAATAGTTGAATTACATATGAATTATATGGAGTATGGAATGCTTATTTTTACCCTATTACAATTCCTTCAATGGTGATGCCCAAACATGTATTCTTAAATCGGTATGACTATTTATTCTTTAATAAAAAATTTCAATTTCGACTTTGAATATGAAATTTTTTATTTTATACTGCGTGAATTCAAATATGATATTTGAAAATAGGGAGCATTGTTCCTTAAATAGGTGATGATGAGATGCATACAAATTTAAATTAATCGAATATATTATGTTTTAATTATCAAATAGGAGTAATTAAACAAAAAAAAAAATACTTTGTTTAAGTTATTATTCTTAACCACTATGAACTGATATTTCTTTTTGAAGTGGGTGAGAAAAATAAGGAGTGTGATGAAAACTGTTGGACAGAATGCAGGGCTGTCCTTAATGTATTTTTGTCTTGTTGTCTAAGCTACATTAGAAAATTTGACCAAAGCTTGCATCTCTAGGCACATTATTTTATTACATTTAATACTTGCACCATTTTTTCCCAAGGAAATTGATATTAACCATATATTTTTCTTAATATGATAATCTCCGTCCACTTTTAAATGTTATGTTGCATTAAAGTCAATTGAGAGGAATAACCAATCGATGAAAGAACATGAAACCATTCTGTTTCAATAGAGGTACGAGAAACATTTTTTTTTCATAATAATTATATATAATTATCTAATAATAATAAAAAAGGAATTAATTTTCAAAATTAAATTAATTTACATTAATTTGATATTTTAAACAAAAAAATAATAATATTCAAAAGCTATACAAAATTACTATAAATTGTAATATTTTACATATTAATATGATGAAAAAATTCATTATAAAATATTAATCAACGTTTTTATTATTTAATTCTAAAAAGAAAAATTATAACAATTAAAAGTGAACGAATAACTAATATGATAATTACTTGGGGCAAGTTACATTATGGCATGCAATTCTCTGTCCAAGGCCCAAGGGACCTTTAAAAAAGACCCTCTCAATAGTTTGCAAGTTCCCTTTCCCCTCGAGGATCTCGAATTCAAGCCTTAAATATAGAGAAAAGATCTCGAGTTTAAGCCTTAAATATAGAGAAAATCTTGTTGTAAACACCACCCGTATGAGCTTTGTAGTGCACGATTCAAATTTAGTCAAAGCTCCTTAACTAAAGATCTCGAGTACCCCAAATATGGAGAAAATCCTACGAAGAGGACCACCGTCAAATGAGTCATTAATCGAAACTCCTTAATTAGAGGTCTTAAGTTCGAGACCTAAATATGGAGAAAATCTTATTAAAAACACCACCCCGAATGGACCCTACAGTGCAGGATTCAAATTTAATCGGAGCTTCAGTACAAACTCCGAACACTTATTAGCCTTCAAATTTGAAACTAAGAACATATTGAACTTGCCCCTCAATAGTTGCATCATAAGGTTTCTAGTTATCCACATTTATGATGTATGTAGGTGAAATTTGTTTCCTTGTGTACCCTTAACCAATTTTACTTGTGACTTAAGGACAATGTTATCTAAGATTTCTCTTCCTGTATAGGAGAGTGGTCAGAAAAACCATCCTCACTGAATTGGGCAGTAAGTGACCCAAATTAATATAGGAAAAATCTTTTTTGGCCAAATAATTTGGTCAGAATGGTAAAATAACATATTCCACACTATGTTATTTTATCTTTTTTGAACATTTTTACCTTTTTAACTTTAATACCTTATAATAAAAAATGAAAAAAAAAAAACAGTTTATTTCGTGACCAAATGGCCCCAACTACCATAGCTATTCAAAAAACAGATCATTTCCACTACCAGAAAACAAAAAACATAACTAGATTTTCAATCAAAGTACCTAATCTAGTCTAGAAAGAAGACACAAGATTGTTACCTCATCAACACAATTCCATCCATGCCCACACTGTGGACATTCCTCAAAGTTCTCAACCGGGAAATTTGCCGAAGCGAGTCCAACTGAGAACTCAAGATTCTTACCTTTTCTCTCAACTTCGACAATGTTAAGCCATAGCAACACCACCTTAACACTAACACCACTCAATTTCTTAAGCCTGCCTTTAGATATAACCCCTTTTATAACAGGCTTGTAATTCAGTTGATATGAGTTCTCCAATTTGAAGCTGCAGGTAGAATTAAGATAAGCTGAGAATTCACCTGTTTTTGTGTTCAATTTGTAGTCTTTTACTCCTTTTGGAAGAATCCCCATTGGGAAATCATAACGCTGTAGCTCTTCGTAAGCTGATAGCTTCTCATTCCTTGAAGCTGCAGTGGCAAAAAAGAAGAGAAAGAGGTAAAAAATACTTCTTATTAAAGATATTGACATTTCTGTGAACATTGATTGTTTGGTTGTTCCAAAGTTCACCGTTTTATAAGGGTGAATACATAATATGGTAAGATATGAGGTTGACAGATGTTTGTTTTATAGGTATGATGACAAACTTGTTTGTTGCTCTGTTTTGTTGTCCACGTGTCCTTACAATAATTTGTACAGCAAAATAGTCCATTGGATTGGTAGTTGATTCAATACACGTAAACTGAATCGAACACCATGATTATAAAAAAAAATACGATAAATCCATCTAGAGAACTCTTTGGCCCAACCCAACATCCAAAACTCGGAGATGATGGACTAGCTTCCGTATTCTCCATTCAAACATTGAACTTAACTCACATGGCAACGACTCGAAGTAGTCGGATGTTTCTTCTATTATCTTTCCTGACACGGCTGGGCCATCTTAGACTTGAACCAAAGCCCTTATCCATGAAATAAATCAAGGCACATACCAATAGATTCCTTTTCGGGAGCGATTCAAAATACAAGTCCCTCAACTTTTTACGATTTGAGTTGGACTAGCTACCATGTCTTATTCTAGTCCAGTAACAAGAAATTACAAGTCTCTTAATGAAATTATTCCAATAGGATCACAATAAATATTATGTTCTCAATCGATCACAATCAAACTAGTAATAATGCTCCAGGCTAATGAGAAAAGTGGAATCTATTAGAATTACTGTAGAAGTAATCCAATATCATCCTGTTGATGCCAGGTTCACCTGGTATTTTGAAGCATAGAGTATAGATTTATGTGTAGAAATTCACTAAAATTGTTATGAATAACGAAGCAGCAGCAGCTTCTCATTGATCTGCAAAAGCCCTTTCTCATATGCAAGCTGAAGTCTTGCTAAGTTGAGCAGAAAGTGTTCTGTAAACTCATGAGACACAGCAGCAAATATGTGATTGAAATGAACAGATACAACACAGTGAATAAGTCGAACAAAAGATGTAATTATTCTACCAAAAAAAGGCACTGGAGCAGAGACTAATCATTAATCAATGCAAGAAATTACTAGTTCATGAGATAAAAAGACTATATCTGAGTTGCAAAAGAATATGACCACAAAATAGAAAAGAATATGCTCTGAAGAACAATACAGCAATCAATGTGGAACTACGGGAGGAAAAAAATACGTAAATGGTAGGCAATTTGCAGAAAAGGAAGCTAGATATGAAATCAGCAAGTAATCAACACAACTACAATATGGAGATCTCCCTAGGAACATAACATACAGAGATTTGCAGACTCAGTTGACATCCTTCAATCTTTTAATTAATGCATCAAGAGATTTCTTTTTAGTGTTCTGCTTAGCTCCCCTTGTGCCAAAGGACCCAAAAAGCCTGTCTGTTTGATCCTTCATCTTTTCTGAGATAGTAACAACTTTGCGGTAGTCCAAAGCATTATAACTTCTTTCTCTAATAACTGGATTCAGGAAATTTTCTGGATGATTGCTCAAGAGTAGATTAACCAACTGCCTGGACTCGGCCAATGCTGCTTTCAGCTGACTAGCATCTACTTCAGATAAGAGAGGAGCTTGGTTTTCAGCAAATGATTCCAACATCTGGATATCGACATCAAGAGCCATAACAGCATTCACGTTGAACCTTTTAACTGATTCCCCTAGTAAAGCCCCAACAATCATCTCTGATATATGAAACAGAACATCTTGCAAAACTCTCTTAAGAACTTGAACAGGCAGTATCTGCTGGGCAGTAGAAGTTAGTGTTTCAAGAAAAATAATCACCTCATGCACATATTCATTTCCACTCTGCAGAGGCTCATCGGCCATCCAATTCACATTCTCAATCAACAAAAGGAAACCATCAACCTTTTGCTTAAGCAGACCCGAAAGCATCTCTTCAGCAGCATCACGGGCTTTAGTCAAAGGGAACAGTCTCCTCCCCCTCTCTGCCATTCTCAATGGAATCCCTGAAAGCTGTGCAGCATGACGAAAGATAAAGTCGCAAGCACGTTCAAACACAGCCATATTAGCCGCCATCTGCATTGCTTGGGTAACACCACCGATAGACGTATTAATGAGCTTCAACAGGGCTCCATCCAGGACTTCAGTTAAAAGCCGATCCAAGTACTTCTTCACCACATCATAGAAATCAAGCTGACCACCATGTGACATAAAACTAACTGAATCCTCGATAAAGGACCGCACAATTCTACAGCAATCAGGAACTGTACACGAAAACGGTGCAACATAAGGAAATGCAGGCATAATATTTGACGTCTGTAACTGGAATGACAACACATTCATGGAATACTCATATTCCTTTTTCATATACATCTGCTCAAATTTATCTGCAGCAAGAGCCTCAGTTATCTGCTTTCGACAATCAGACAACAGGAGCTCATGATACTTATCCCTGTGCTTGCTCAAGACGTCTAACAAAGCCTCAACAGGGTATCCATATCTACGCAACGTCACACTAAGCAAACTCACATAGTCCTTGATTAATAACAAATGATTCGCAGTTTGCATTCTAGAAAACTGATCTTCCAAAACAGAACACATTTTACTCATAGCAGTGTCCCATAAATTCTCCACCTCCATTTTGGAAACCAACTTACCACCAGTCCTCAAGACTCGATCTTCCACGATGAAAAAACCAGCAATTTGGGCAAAAAATGTCTGATGAGATTCAAGGAAGGGCGTCATTGAAGATACCTGAAAATCTGAAGTCAATTGAAGCTTGCGATTCTCAAAATAGTACTTTTTGAATCGATCTTCAAGTCCTAGAGTTTGGTTTATGTGATAAGCCCTATACAACGGCGTCAAATCAAACCCTAACATTCCATTGCTGTAACCATCCTTTCCATCATCACTGATCCCATTGAATCCGTCATCGTCTTCTTCTTCAAGAGCATAAACACAATCCCGAAGACTGAGTCTACTCTGCTCCTCAGCTTGTCGTTGCTTGATTCTGAGCTCTTCTTCTCTCTGTCTCGATGCTGATGCTTGTCCGATAGCTAGTTGCCCTAAATTTCGGCTAACTACACGGATCTCGACAAGCCAATCACCAAACTCTTTGGTGATTCTCCGTTCAATATGTGAACGAATCGCAGGGATCTGCTTTTCAAGCATTCGCCGGAGAGTAGTAGACGGTGTTTTGTTCATGAACTCTCTCTCAATCGAGTCCACACACTTCAACGCCATGTAAAAATTGTTCTCTGAAAGATGACGATTGGCTCGGGAGCAAAGCTCGACTAGCTGAACGCAAGTCCGAAGCGATTGGATAGCAAGAGTTATGTTTTTGCATTTGTTTCGAGCTTCAACGAATGAGTCAAGAGTGGTAAGCAAAGGCACAGCGACGGACTGAAGTTGACTGTTCGAGTTTGACAGAGACGATTTAAGAGAATCAACATCGGAGAGCAGAGATCGGAGATCGTCAACGGCGGTGATAAAGTCCTCGTAGTGTGCTCTACATACATCCTCAATTTCAGATTCCTTGGATCGCGCAAAGTGACGGAGATGAAGAAGTACTGTCTCCGGCTTACCGGAAGCAAAACCCTTGCGCACAAAAGGCCCAACATCTTCACCGTTGCAGATGGCGGCGGATAAGAGGACTTGGTCAAATTTGTCGGCGGAGTCTCCGTTTTCTACCGCCGGAACAACTTTCCGGCGCATCTTCGACGTGTTCATCGCCAGCAGTGTATCTCCGGTCACCGTTAAAAAGAGTAACTGCTTAGACTGACGGGGCCGTTACACGCGGAGGGAATGTAGGGAAGAGGAAATGAAGACGGAGAAAATTATTGACAGGAAGATATAGCTGGGAGACATTGAAATGAAAAAGTAATGATAAATGGCCTGTGTTTGACTATTTTACCCTTCGTGAATTCCAAAATATCTGGCTGAGATAGGGGTATAATAGTAAGTAGGACCAATCTTTTTGTAATAATTAAAGGCAAGTATTTGGTGATTTATGGAGTAATTACTAGTGCAAGGAACATAAATTTTTACATTCTAATTTTAGCTTCTATAAAATAAAAAATACGATTAGTTGGGAGTTTTTTTTTAAAGTAGGGTCGTTCAAAATTAAATCGCAATTGATAAGTCAATCATAAAATTGATTTATTGGCTTATTAGTATTGGATTATCGAATTAACGGTTGGTGAGCATATTCAAATTTTATAGTTAACGGTTTATCGGTGTGAAGATGGATTACTCAGTTTCCAATAAACCGTTAATCCGTTAAGAATTATCGTAGTTACATTTTTATCGTAAGCATATTTGTTAAGTAAATACTTATATGCATGCACCCTCAAATTTTAGACTTTCATACGTGTCTCAAAGTGATTTACAATTACTAGCATATATAGAGCTAGAAAAATTAGTTTGTTTAATCGGAAAAATTATTTTGCTTGATGCAAGATGAATATATTGGTAATTGAAATTGAAAGAAGGGAGGAGGAAATGGTGGAGCCAGTGTTTTAAAAGGCGGGGGCGTGAGGCGAGACGTTTTATACAGTATAGGGCGAGGCGTAAGCCCCGAGACACGGGGGTAAGTTTCATGGATCTACGAGGAATAGTCTCATTATATTCAATTTTATAGTTTTATTACTAATAAAATAAACAAAAGTAAACCTTTCAATGATTTTACAAATAAATATTTATTATTAACCTATAATATATAGAAATTATATTATAATTTTTATTTGAGATAAGTATTAATAATCAATAATGAAGAAAAATGTATTATAATTACTATTTGAGAAATGTCATTACAACAATAATAAAAAATATGATTTAAAGTAAAAAAAAATTCAAAAAAAAAAATTAAAAACTCTCGGGACTACGTTTTTACGCCCAGGACTTACGTTTTTATGCTCGAGGCTTATGCCTCAAATTTTAGAACTTACGCCTTATGGATCTACGCTTTTAATTTACGCCCCGAAGCGTTTTTGGTACGCCCCGCCCCGAGACTCGCCCCAAAAACGTTTTTGAAAACACTGGGTGGAGCTAATACGCTGCCTATAACTGTCCGTTAATTCATAACCAGATACCGAACCAATTGATAGCTTATTGGTTGACTAGTAAATTAGTATACTTAAATTCGAAATCTGATAAGCCAAACTCTTAAGCATAATTATCCATTTGATTCGTCCAATAAACAACGCTTTTTGAAGAGCAACTTTGAGAGGAACCAACAACGTAAGTTGTGGAGCAGTGAAACGTTAGAGGTGTTGAACTCGAGTTTTGAATATGAAGAAAATCTTATTGAAAGTGTCACTATCTAAAAGATCCTGCAACGTGCAATTCAAATTTAATTAATATTTTAATGCAGACACAGAACATCAAATGAGTTAGAAAAAAAAGAAATACACCAAAAAAAAAAGAAGTCAATAGGCGTAACAATTTTTAACATATCTTACATGGTCAGGTCTATTGACCAAGTGTAAGGGTGGCAAAATCAAGCACAATCCATTCAACCCGACCTAACCTATTTAAGTTTGAAATGGTTATTAACCCGTCCATTTGTTAGCTTAGCTCAACTCATTTCAACCCATTAAAAATTGGCTTCGATATGTAGCCCAAATTGATTTTTGAGAAATCTTGTCAAAAATATTACTATTAAAAAACTTTTTATTTATTTATATGTTATTTATAGTTATAATAAATGAAAAGATAATTTTATTAGGTACTAAAAGCTTATAATATAACAAATAAAACTATTAAAACTTAGTAAAAATTGGACGGATTGGGATCTGATCCACTACTAACCCGTTACCTAACTTGTTTTGACACAACCTATTTTGGCCCAAACAAATTTGGGTTGGGTTGGATCTTGACCCGTTTATTGTCTTGACCCATTTTAACCTGCCCAAATTTAACTCAACCCGCCCAATTGCCACCCCTAACCAAGTGTCATTGAAAAATAGTTTCACAAATGAAGGACTAAATTTGGATAG